TAGTCGGTTGTTAACCGAATATTTCGTTAACTGAATCTCTTATTTCAATGGGATATTAGGTAATTGGTTCCAACTCACAGAAAAAGTATACATACAAAGTACTGTGCACCGGTAATAGAATTAACAAAACTTTAAATATAAACTAAAAACAGTACTGTACAATAATAAATAAAAAACAATAGAATACTGTATTTTAACCTACTTTGAGGTGTGCAAGCCGTATTCCCAGCAGCTTTGTTTACATATCAAACAGCTGATTGTAGAGGCAGTCGATGATGGCATGCCATATTCTTTACAGAGTGCATTGGTTCTAATGCCTTCTTCGTGTTTCATAATAATTTCTGCACTGTATATTATCAATGTATGTTAACTAAATTTCAGAATGACCAATAATTTTATTATAAAAATGATAAAATATTGAAGAGACCAACAAACTTGATGGTCACTCCACTGTAAACAAAGTTAAACTGAGAAGCATTTGTGGGCGATTCGATCAGCTGAAGGGCAAACAAAAACTGTTCCCTGTACTGTATATATTATCAATATGTTAACTAAATTTAAGAATGACCAATAATTTTAAAATAAAAAATGCTAAAATATTCAAGAGCACAACTTTCTTGATATTTACGCCACTGGAAACGAATGTAAACATAGAACCAATTACTGTATTGGCAGACTAGCCGATCAGCTGATGCGCACAACAAAGTGTATTTCTTGTAAGGCTGTCGCTAATCGAAGTTTTGTTCGTTAATGGCACTACAAATCCTTATGGGAGCTAATTCGTAAACCGAAATTTTGTTAATTGAACCGTTCGTTAATCGAGGGACCACTGTATTTAAATTGTCCACAACTACACTTACTGTACAAGTATTATCTACACAACAGATATTACAATACTACACCTTAATGATCAGCCAATTTCAAAGCCTATCTACAGTTAAAGCTATGAATGTTAAGTGATCATATTTTATTGCATGTACTGTATAGCCAAATGATGTAAAAAAAACGGAGTTCAGAATTTTCAGGTAATTTTATTTATTTTTGTTTTTTTAGAACCATCAAGACTACACTATCTAATATCTGATGTCTCATGTTCTACTTTATATAGTAACAGGGTGGTTCATGGATTTACCTAGAAAATTTATAGAAGATTACTGTACAATACTGGGAGAACTCCTGGATAGTGACCAAGAAGGTGATACAAGGAGTACTTTAAAATATCTGGGCTTTTGGGGATGCTCGGTGTTACCAACTCAGTCAAACTCCCAACCATAAAGGAGGGACAATCTCTTAAATTTCACTACGACCATCTCTTGATTTCCACCTCTCTATAATTACAAAATACTATGAAATTATCTTTGTTTCGTGGTGATTTGTGCTGTAGCAATGAGAAATTATTATATATTTTTTTTAACTTACTACAGACGACTAGTTGCTTGTTCCCCTGCACCTTACATACTTTTTAAAGTCTTTTCCTATATTTAGAGCCCACAAACAACAAATCCCCACTCCATAAATTTTATTGTTCGGTTAATAAGGAATTACATTTTTTTAAGATTTTGCAACCATAATTCTTCTGCAAAGGTTACTATAAAGATAAAATAAAGTACAGTACTTTAATATTGCATTAAATACAATATGACCTGCTGAAAGCAAACTCCAGCCAAGTACACCATATAAACCTTGCCCAGCCCAATGACTGAACATAATCATATTAAACTACTGTACAGATAGAAAGCACATCTTTAATCCTACTTCATACTATAGCTCTATCATCATCTATTAAAGCCTTGTCATGAGACAATAACTTACAATCCAATGACACGTAAACCACTGTACTTCTAAATATCTAATATCTCACTTGCTTTGGCAATTAAATAATTTAAATTTAACAATTGTACCTCCAAAAGATTGCACTAGGAAAGAGGGTGAATCAAGAGTAATGTTGAGAAGGGTTGCAGACAGCCTGAGTTTTAATGGAAGGCAAGTTATTGAGTGAGCTATATTTAACCTTTTAGAGGGCAGCACAGCACTTAGGTATTTTATTCAGCTGAGAGAAACCCCTCCCCTGGAGAGGGTTAAGATGTCTGCATGGTAATGTCTGTGCCAATTTTTTCTATGTTGAAGAGAAATTAAAGGATACTTCGTTAAGATAAGTGAATCCAAATGAGAGAAGCATTTAGTAAGTAATATGATATCCCCGTTAGCCGGAACAATTGGTGCAGAGTTCTTCCAGGGATGAGAGATTTCCGGGATCGAAACGACTCTCTCAAACCTGAAAAATCCCATATCCCCAGAGTTTTTTCCGGGTATTGGGAAAAGTTTCCGAGAGTCTAAACTACACATCTTGTACAGACAGATACTAGTCCACATCCTCAGAATGTTTCTGGAAGCTGGGTAAAGTTTTCTGAGTGTCTAAACTATGCATCTCTTCTCGACTCTAAATTATACATCTCATTTCACATGGACAAACACTCTCCCATTACATTTAGATTGCGAGACAGAGTAAAAACAATTACAGCTTGCAGAAAAGAGTATTAACTTTCATTCACAACATCTGGTCTAATTGTGTTTGATGAATATTTATATTATAATGATCCTGAATAAATTATCTACAAGGCTGTTCCAATAAAATATCCCTAAACAAAATATTTCAACACATCATAAAAATGGGACTCAATTCTTTTATGAAAAAATAAAGAAATGTTGAAACCACAGTCTATAAAATCAGTTCAAATTAAGTTAGACACACCATATTTTTTTTCCGAAATAATCCTGAATACAGTAGTTTTGAATAAATATATTCTTAAAAATCTGTTCTAATTAATTTAGAAAAAGTAATTAAATAAAATCACCAAAATAATCCTGAATAGTTTTTAAATAAATATATTTAAAAACATAATCTATATTATACAGGCATGTGAGACGTGAATGGAGCTGTGTCACAGCGAAAAATGGAATTTTCCACTTCACTGGGGAAAAATTTCCCGTGTCTAAACGAAGCATCTCGCATGGAGCTGTATTTATTTATGCAAACACTACTGTACACGTACAATATATTGTTAATACTGTGAACAAAATAATGTATACTACTAGAGGTTTGGCATCCCTTATCCAAAATTGCCAAATCAGAAATGCTCCAAAATCCAAAAATCTATTTAATTCTATATATATTAGAGAATACACTGAATATGGCATATAGTACATGTACATCATAATTTTTACTAGGTTAAGTATGTACAGGTATGTGTAATAAAAAAGTAAGACAGTCCACTTAACACTTCAAGAGTCAGGCATCATGGCGATGCTGAACAGATGGCAGTGGTTACTTACCTTTCTCATTCTTCAGTGTACATCTTACCATGTATATATCATACAAATTTTTTTAAATATTTCATAAAACTACCTGCAGGCTATATGCATCCATATGCTGTAAATTAAATATACAGGTAAATGAATTTTGAGCATAGTTTTGAGCCTCATCCCCGCTGGGTGAGTTCTGCATTTTCCGGGCAACTTCGTGGTGTAGATTAATTTAGTCTTTTTCTCTTCAATTTATAATTTCTTTTTACTCTTATTTTTTCGCCCCCAGGCCCCGTTGTGGGTCGATGACCTGTGCCCGGGTAGGATATTCCCAAATCCGAGACCCTTTCGACTCCAAGCATTTCGGAAAAGGAATACCTAACCTGTACTATACTGTACATATTGTCTTCACCAGCATATGCTGTCACCTTGAGCCTAGAGTAGGCAGACACTGTCCACTCAGCTGAATGTAATGCGTAACTGTAATCAGGTCTTAACACTTGCGAGGAGGTGGGGGTGCGGGATTAGTGGGCCATGTTACTGACTTGACCTGATGCAATATCAGATCATCCATTGTCGGGGAGGGTGATTAGTGAATCTCATGACCTGAAGATGTCTTAAAGATGAAAGCTAAGGTGCTCCAGTGTTTCCCACTTACTGAATGTTCAGTACAGTATATGTAATTGAAATAAATTTTTACGTTCTTAATATTGCTTTAACACTGTATTTTGGGCTGATTGTGTCCTGGTAGTACAGCACAAATTGTATGTAAAAACAACAGCAAACAAAGGAGCAACCTTCTACAATGGCAGCCAAATATGAACTAAGCGATCCAAGCAACTAGGCCACCCATGCACCAGGCCCAGAACGGAGAGACTCTGGAGAGATTTTCTCTGAACCTTCTTGGACTTTTTCCCCGAAAATAAGCTTGATTTTCATCTTCGGAAACTCGTTCGCAGACCCGGACTGGAGAGAGATTTGCTGGAATTTTTCCAGCCTGATTTAAAATCCGGGTATTAGAGAGTTCCAGAGATCGGGGATTTCAGTTAACAGGGAGATTACTGTATATCAGAGATTAAGATATCTGACAAGGTAAAGAATGAACAAGTGGGGCAAAGGAGAAAAAACAAAAATAAATGTGCAAAGGGTAAGTGGACATGAATAATGTAAAATAGATGATGAATCAAAGCAGTTGAGAATTGTCATTACCTGTTTCTTATTCTTAAAAATAAGGACAAATAAATTAGAATTATGGAAGGTAACATCAGAGATGTCCAATTTCACTACTGTCATAGTTTGGATAATTCACTAGGTTTAAAACAGGAAATGGCATATGAGGAGAGATTTTCCATGGCAAACTAATATCAAAGGTAACTATGAAGGGAAGCTTATTCAGTGGCTTAACTGCAGTACTGTAGTTTTGTACCTCAAAATCTAAAGTGAAAAATGGCATTTCAAAAAATACCTATAAAGGTGCTCCTCTACTAATGAACGAGTTACATTCCTGAGGCTTGTTTGTAAGTCCAATTGTTTGTAAGTCCAACTTTACTCTTGTAGATACCAAACATATTGTAAAAAATGAAAAGATTATGGATATTTAGTACAGCTATACCCTTTAATACAGCCTTAGATCCTGGCTCACTCTTATCCTCTTAGGTAATGTTTGTTCTATCTGGAATTTTCTTCAAAATAATCCAGTCTCATCCACATTAAACACCTGTTCTGGCAGGTAACTCCCCTCAGTGATGATGTTTGTATCTCTGAAAGTTTGTAAGTTGAACTTTCTGAAGTAGAGGAGCACCTGTACTGTACATCACTGCAGTCCATTAACTTGCCAGGCTGAGGTACAGGAAATATACATTACAAATCCACACCTGATAACTTTTGAATCTTGTTCCTAATGTTGGCTGCTACATCCTATACTCTAAGACAGAATTTTTAAATAACAACAGATAAAACAGTGGTATAGAAAAGTTGTAAAAAATTCTTATAAAAAACAATTACTGTATCACTAAAATTAATAACCTATGGATACCAGATCAATCAGCACTTTTCATAGAAATATGTATAAAATTCTTTCCATTGTTACCAGAGATAGGATTGACCATATCGAAGGTCATGAATGTACCCGGTGATGATGGTCTTCAAAGATAAGATATATTGACTTGCACCATACTTATGGTAAAAGAAAATCAAAAGCAACTACACAGCTTAATACATTCATACACTAAATCAACAATTTTTGATTGCATGGAAGTAAGCAGGTTCATTAAAAAAATATTCTAATATCAGGACACTTTTAACTAGCCACGAATGGAAGACAACACAACACAGTAGCTCTACTCTGTACATAAAAGAGATGAGATCCATCACTGACAAAAGAATACAGCACTGTACGTTTTATTTATGTACACGACAGCACCAGCCTAAACAAATCACAAAATGAGGCCAATAAAAACAACCCATAACTTTTTATCAAAGGAACAATTACCTTTAAGTCAGCACTGATATATTATGTGGAAGGCGAACATCTGGATTGGGATACTGAGGAGTTTCAATCACTCCCGCACCAAATTTGAGCTCAAGAAAGTCTCGGACATTATTGGGTGCTGAGGCCATTACTCCAGCAAAATTCACCGATGCAAGTGGTCTCAAGAAGTGCTCTGGAAAATCTATATCCTGACGATGACCCGTGGTCCAAGCACCACCTCGTGTCATGGTGCCCCCTCGTGGGGTAAATGGAAACACATCAACATGTAAATGATTTGCAGTGCTGTAGTGTACTCGGAAAAACCCACCTTCTGAAGCTCTCTGCCACACAAAACCATCAGTATCTTCTAATGTCTGCCAACGTGCTGCCTTCAGTTGTGGACAACGATCAACATCCTGAGAGTAAATGCCCACATCTACATCATAGTCCCAGGGGATAATATCTCCACTTCGTACAGCACCCAACAAAGACCCTCCCTCGAGCCACCAACGTGCTCGGCATCCCCTTAGCACCTGGAAGACATGTCGTGCAGTGGTTCTTAACCCTTCTAAGCAACATGGTGGCGTCCAGCGTCCCACATACAGATAGTCTGGTGTATCATCTATCACGGTAGGAAAGCATCGAGGTGTTTTACGACTGCATCCATACCAAAGCACTTTACCACCTGTGGTTACAACTTTTTTAACACCTAACTCAGCAAAAAGAGCACGTTTCCGTTCCTCTTCAACAGTGTCTCGTTTCCACTGTAGGTGGTCATTGGCATAAAGTTGTCGGCCCTCCCCAAGCAGACCACCCCGACTAACATGCACTTTCCATGCACGTGCTGCACCTTGGATACCAATACTCAGGGCGACAGGGCGTGCCAGAGGATGAGTCAGCTGTAAAAGACTGCTAGTTTTCATTAGCAAGGCTGCACGTCCACTAACTGCATCACAAGCTTCACTTTGGGGAGCAGGAGCTATTGTGAGTGTCCATGCTTGTATGTTAAGAGTGTAGCGGTGGCATATTAATGGTGAGCCACCTACACCTACTGCTACAACCTTTGAATCTCCAGTATTTAATAAATGTATGAGATCCACTAACTGTGTAGACGACGAACACCGAGCACCATCTGGCAAAAGGAGGACATATTTTGCACCAGTTAAGAAACCTCGAAGATTTGGACGATGCCTGAGCAACCCTGGATTGAGAACCACCGATGACACATGTCTCGTTAAGTGCAAAGGTGGGTATACAGTGTCATCAGTCACCACCAGAATCTTACATACAGCACCACAAGCACTGAGAACAGAATCAACAGTCTCGCCTACATCATTATCAAAACTTTCAAACTCTCTAACAATGACAACCAAATCTTCTAATGGATTCCTCATAACTGGAGTCTTCTTTTCCCTAACCTCTTCCTTGACTGATAATCGGTGCCCAACTTGACGCACCACCAAAATTGTAATAAACAAGACAAAAAACAGCAAAACACTCCTTGCCTTTCTGATACCAACCATACTGCATATATTATACTGACAGCACGGTTGACAAAAATTCAAAATAAAAATGGTGATTGTACAAGATTTAATAGAATGACTAATGACTAACTTGGTACATATTGCTAGTTTTAATGAATTACAAATACTATAAACCCAGAACTAACTACGTCAAGTATTCACACTTGAAGAGAAAAAATTTTCTAACAATGCAATTGATTATCTATTTGTATAATCAGTTATTGAGCAAAATGATGACATCCAATATAAAAAATATATATCCTCTACAACAGAATGAATACAGTTTAGATATTCATTACACAATACTATATAAAATCAACTCTTTAATGTAATATCCATGGAGACATTTTAAATATATTTATAAATTGTTGTGCTCAGTATAAGAGACTGTGCATCACTATTTTGGCTTATATACTTCAGTAAACTACAAATAATCAAATCTCCTCAATATATACATGACCTCACACACACACACACACATACATTTGTAACTAAAGTACTGTGTTGTACATATGTCACTGTATTAGACCTCTTACACTTAAGACACCCAGCATGATTAACAATGATGCCAAACACATTTACAGTTCTTAACTAAATCATATGTATGACACAAATTAGGAGACAATTCTCTCGTTTACTTGACACATCAAGCATGTTACACTGCAAAAGTGACGGTCCTCCCCTATTTGGCTGGGGAAACACCAGCAAGAATTTTCTCACACAGAGATGGCTTAATTTCACCTATTGCTACTGGTTTCCTCATATCAATTAAGAGAGTATATATCCGATCTCAAATACATTACACCAAAATTTTCACAGCTTGGCCTCAAATGCTTCTACTGGTGGTGATGAGTTTGATGACATACTTCTAAAATAGGGAGACTTCCATGCGTGGATCATCAGGAAAGCAAGATCGGGTATCCTCAGCCTCACCACACAACATGCAGCTCATCTCATAATACTGATAGTCATCTTCCACCCAAAAACGATGGCCATGAGTAGCAATCACATGATTACAATTCCCACAAACATCTGAAAATATTTTTAAACCTTGAGATATAATGGCTTGATGATGATGATGTTTAAAGAATTTATCAAACTCATTCATTATTTACTAAAGATATTATAATGTAACTTTAAGCTATCCTCCCAGGAGAGAAGCGTTAATCCTGACCTGAACAGAAAAGAATGACTAGCCCTACACCCACCACTCAATAATAACCTGCTAACGATGCCTCTTACTTTAAAACAAGTTCAGGTGTCTGGTAATGTGCATGAAATTCTCTTATTCCTTCTTATTTTATTATTCTAAAAAAAAAAAAAAAAATAATATAAAAAATAAAAAATTCTAGACCCAACAAAACTTACTTAAACTGTCCGATCAAATTCCATCTTTTCTGCAAATGAAGTTATACAAGTGTGTAGACATCAAAATTTTCAGTGGCTTCAGGTTGGCATCCACCAAAATATACATTTACCAGATGACATGTATTAGAATTTTATTTCCTCACTAATGATAACTGAAAACAATTTAAAAATAGCTGACAATTATGTTTCAATTATTATAAATTTATTTTTACTCTAAGTTGTTTTGACCTTTTTAAGCAATAAAAAAATGTGACCCAACAATACACTGAAATGACTTTGCAATAAGAACAGCACAGTCATCCAGCACATGTATGAGTAAATGATGTTAAGGAGATGAGGTAAGTTAGTATTACAAACACATCTATTGTAACTCAGTAAGAAACTAGTCACGAAATATATTCTTTAAGATATGCTTGTTAGTTATGTACTACCAGTTTCCTTCCATCTGCTGAAATTTCTTTGTACTGTAATCTAATACAGTACAGTACCAACACTACAATAACTGTACAGCACTCGATGCAGTTTAAGTCAAAGCACATGTAAGTTCTCATTTTACATGATACACTCAGCAGAGCATTATTTACTAAAGTGTATGGAGATCATGCACGGGGAAGGTTTCCTTTTCACCCTAATCCAGATCAACAAAATGCACATCTTGTTTGGTAATGAATATTGTACAGTATAATCTACATGGTACAGGGGTCCTCATTATCCAAGGCTAACAAGGACCGGAAAACCGCCACTTAAAGCGGTAATTTCTTGCCATAAGAAATCCGTAATGGGAATAGGGTTTGGTTGGGACCATAAGATTCTAAATGACACTCAAAATGAGTTCACATATTTTTTTATACCTTTTATCATTTATAATCTAGAATCTGATGAGCATGAGAGAAGTCTATTACATACTAACAAATTTTTTTCCAACGAATAACATCTAATTTCACGTTCAGTCCATAGCTGCTACACTTCCTTTTAAGGACAACACTTAAGATAGCATTAAGCTTTAAATTCATGGCTAAAACAATAGCCATGATTTTTCAAGAATGCATATGAAAAGCAATAAAAAACTGTGGGAGGTTAGGCATTGTTTACAGAGGTAAAATGACTGAGAGTGAGTGTGCAACAGAGGTATGTGGGATGAGTGACAGTATAGCAGGAGATTTGAATCATTCTCTGTTAAGACTTACATGCTCCACGGATATTATTCCTTATAAACCTTGTAAGCGCACGGATATTTTATGTATACAGGTACCTGCATCCTCCACATCATGGAAACACAGGTTGTGGAAATTCACCCAGATGGTATTTGTAAATTATGACCACTAAATTCTCGATAGACTCTAAATTCAACCTTATGGAAATGGGGTAAATTTAAGCAAGTTTCAAAGCCAAAATCATGATACACTTATCCCCTCATACCCGTATTTGCAAATTCACTTATTCAAAAAAAATTATTAGTAACCCTTTATTCAAGGTTCTCGAATGAAATTCAGCTACCCACGAGGCTATAAGAAAATTTTAGCAATTTCTGAGAACAGCATTACCACTAGAAGTTGTTCAACTTCATTCAATTTTTCCACAGATGTTCTTATCATTATACAGTAGTAACTATTTTAAGAGGCGATGGAGGAGGGAGGGAGGACAACTCACCACCTCCTGCATGGCAGCCCACGATCCCTTTATAACAACAGTATGCAATTCACCATAATTCCCATACTATTTAGGTTCAGTTGGTGCAGGGTTATTAAATCATCATAAAAAACATTATTAATTAACCCCCCAAAATCCCAAACCAGTACTTGCCAACAGTGCGTAACAGAGACGTGACCGACTGCCCAAACGGCTAATGAGCCGATCAGTAGCAGAAGCTATTGTGCCGTAATATATTCACAGTCTCTTGTTTACAGAGCAGTAACAGCTGATCCACTCTCGTTAATAATGTTGCCAGCACTCATCATCTCACAAGCACCATTGTTGTCACTGCTCAAGAGGGTTTGTGGTTACCACAGGATCTGTCTTGAGCACTAGTAAATAATATTGTAGTGTATTTATCAGAACTTAATACAGTAAATATTATTGTTGTGTAAAATGCATTTCCATCTGCCCTGATTTATTCACTGATCAGTTTTCTAAGTGCAAACTTATTCAAATCAAGCCATCATGTATCAATTAATTTTAAATTAGAAATTAAAATGTTGTAAGACAATAGTTTAGTAGTGCTGTTAATGTATTTGCTGTGTAAGTGCCTTGTCACCTCACATCATCAGCTCAACCTCACAGTGTTATATTTATTTACAGTATTACTATTACAGTATGTATTTACTTCATTATTTCTGTATGTACAAAAATATCTCCTTACACACTTGAACCATCCTCTTGGTAATGCGACACAGATCACCTGGGCAGTCACCAGCTGACTCCGAGACGTGTGTGTGTGTGTGTCAGTATGCTGTGACGTCACATCTGAGGGAGGAGCTGGGTGGGTGGTGACTGCTGAGTCGAGATGCAGTCATAGTAACAGCTCAGTGCTAAGTGCCTTCACACATGTGTTCACTTCCCACACATACACACCCATGCACTTCAGTTTTCTTATTTTATAGTTTTATATTATAGTTTCCAGAATTTTCTTAGAAAATGCACCTGATTTTCAACCTCAGAAACTTGTTCACAGACCCGGAATTGAGACAATTTTTCTGGAAAAATTCCAAGCCAATTTCAATTCCGGGTATTGGACAGTTCCAGCTACGGTAATGAGTATTCCGGTTTACAAGGATTCTGACTGACGGAGATATTATTATATACAGTATACGGTATATATACTGCACAATGTAAAATCAATACACAGGGTAGTACTGTACCAACTTTTAAAATATGTTCACTGGCAACAACTTCATATTTTTACTGTGTACTGTATCTCCAGGTAGACAGAAATATTATTGAGATACACTATGGAATATGAAAAACTTTTGCATGCTGCAGATGGCAAAGCATTACAGGATACCTAACTTAAAAACATAGGATGAATCTATGTAGAGTACATCATACTCATAAAATTGCATTCACAGGTGCATTGTGCAAAGGATCAAATTTCTGAATAATTTAATAAAATCCTAATAAAATTACATCATCAAGTTTCATTGTTCTTAACATCTTATTTTCAAATACTGTACCGAGACTAATTTGGGAAACAGCAGAATGAAAGACACATAATGCCAAGAAAACTTACGGTCATATTCAATAACTTCTTGTGGAGAATCCTGGGTGCTTGAGGTGGTTCTATCGACAACACTGAGTGTATCCTTGTGCCCACAGCCTTGGCACCCTTGAAGATTTGCCAAATACGTTCCAGAGTCCAGACAGATTGTACCCTGCATGTGACCTACTAGTTAAGAAATGATAATAACTCCTCAGAAAGCTGAGCCATTATTTCCTTAAGCATAACACTGTGTTAATTCCTTTATCTATACTATTGTATATCAAATTTCTTCTTCTCCTCATATTCAGAGCTCAGCAGTCTATAATCGATAAATTCAGACTCCATAGTCAGAACACTTAATGTAACACTTATACTAATTGCTACAACAATCTTTCCGATTTTGTTCTTAGTCTCTGTATAACCATGCTATCATTGGGGTACAGTATACATTAGAGAAGAGTACAGTCGGCCCTTAACATACGCGGGGGTTACGTAACAGAGATACCCGTGGATGTTAAAAATCCGCGTATATGTGCTGCCCCCCCCCCCCAAAAAAACTTGGTCCTCCCATGTCCTTATTTACCGTATATACCTGTGTGTAGTTCAAGTTTTTAAGACCAAATTATTTGGCAAAAAATGGGGGTCGACCTCTAAACGGGTAATAGTTTCGTTAGGTTAAAAAATATTTACCAGTAACTACCAGTAAACAATGGAAATGACACACCAACACACCACCAGCTGTGAGTGTCGGTACAGTTGCTAGGGCAGATCTCTTGCGTCATCATAGCAAGCCCAAAGTAGCCAAATGCATGGTATGGTATGCACAGGACGATGTAAAACATAAAGTATTCATTTTTTAAAGTTTATTTATAGATACTGTACATAAATTTTTGTTCATTACATTTGAAACATCAATCTTTGTTAATTAAATTTGAAACAAAAGAAAACTACGATACCGTATTTTCATTAAAATATTACATCACAAGTATATTTTACCTTAACTGTGACTGAATGAATATAAGTATTCTCAGAAATAAATATGGAAATATAATATTTTTGCTGGAATGACGTACATATTACAGTGGAAAGACGAAAACAATGACTTTCGCTTTCTTTCGTTATTCAAAAGATTTTACCGTAATCACTTTTCGAATGGTTTTCAGTTAAAAAACTGTTGTACTCGTACTGTATTACAATAATATTCTATCCTATCATTAGCCTTATAATCCCACAACTGAAAACCATTCGAAAAGCGATTACGGTAACATCTTTTGAACGAAAGAAAGAGAAAGTCATTGCTTTCGTCACAATTTTATCCCACTTTCCACTGTAATACGTACATCATTTCAGCAAAAATATTACATTTCCATGTTCTCAGAAATAAATGGTAGTTTTGTTGAAACGTAATGTACAATATTTAATATTAAAATGCAAAAATAGCTATAAAAACAATTACAATAATACACCCGTATGTAATGTACTGGCTGGCATCTCCACTCATCCCTGCTCCCGCGTCCAAGGTCACCACTCCTCCCAACTTGCTCCCTTCGCTCCCTCCTCACCGTCACTACTGCTGACAACGAACACAAATGTTTTGTGAATAACTGCACTGCCACTTCCTATGTACAGTACTGAACTGTACTGTGCTGTGCATTTTTACAAACAATAAACATGGCAAGAAAAGCTATTAAAAAAAAAAGAGATAAAAATTTCACTTTACTGTACAGTACCTATCCTCGGCGACAGGACGGGTGTCATCGGGCTCATCGTCACTCAATTCCATAACGGGTGGTGAAGTGGTGGCGACGGTGGATTCAGCTGCTTCCTCACTGCCGCCAGTGATTGATGGTGTAAAATCTCTCCTTCGGTGATCAAAGAACATGATGATGGGGAGTTGTCATCTCTTTCTTTCATTTCTTCCATGATGTTTTTGTATGGAGCGAAAACGTCATCCATCCCTCGCATGAATTTCAGGGCACGCACCATGGAGGGGTCCATACTATAGGCCAGGTGCCTCAATATTCCTGGTCATCTCCCCCAACTTCTCCAACGTTATTTCTTGGTGCTCTTCCTCATCCTCTTTCCCTTTCGCTTCCTCTTCCTTGCCTGAGTCTACTAACTCCTGTAGATCCTCCTCGGTCAGCTCAGTGTCGTGCTCTTCAATTAGCTCCCTAATCTCGTCCTCTGCCATGTCCTGGAAGCCTTCATCAGCCACTTTCCTTGACAGTGCCAGGGTCTTTCTGAATATTTTCATTAAAATCCATCAAAATCATTTTCCTTGTCATCGTCTTAAGCACCAAACAGCTCCTCCCAGTCTTCTCCTTGAACAGGGCTAGAGGGTACATGTTTTTCGAATCGTTTTCAATTAAAAAAATGTTACAGCACATGTATATTTTATCTAAACTGTGCCTGAATGAATATATTCTCAGAAATAAATAGTAGTTTTGCTGAAACGTGATGTATTTCAATATAAAATAGGATAAAATACATGACGAAAACAAAAGACTTTACCTAACCTTCCAATGTTCGAGAGATGTTACTCATTTTTTTAATAGTTTTCGGTTAAAATACTGTTATATTACAATATTATATTCATACTGTGCTTGATATACTACATTCACGGAAATGTAATATATTTTTGCTGAAATGACGTACGTATTAGTGGAAAGTGGGATAAAATCGTGACGAAAACAATGAATTTCGCTTCCTTTCGTTCAAAAGATGTTACCATAATCGCTTTTCGAATGGTTTTCAGTTAAAAAAACTGTTGCATCACAAGTGAATTAGGATAAAATATTATTGTAATACAACAGTTTTTTAACTGAAAACCATTCGAAAAGCGATTACGGTAACATCTTTTGAACGAAAGAAAGCGAGTCATTGCTTTCGTCACTTTTCACTGTAATACGTACGTCATTTCAGCAAAATATTACATTTCCATATTCTCAGAAATAAATAGTAGTTTTGCTGAAACGTAATGCATTTCAATGTTAATTAGGATAAACGACATGAAAACAAAAGACTTTACCTAACCTTCCGATGTTCAAGATATGTTACTCGTTTTTTTAGTAGTTTTCGGTTAAAACACTCTTATATTAGTGATATTCTATTCATACTGTGCTTCATATAATACACTCACGGAAATGTAATATTTTTGCAACTACAATGTTGATGTCAACACAAGCGTGGTTACAGCGAGACTGACTGAGTGAGGGAGAGCTATGCGTGTGTGTGTGTGTGAGGTTGCGGGAGCGGGCGGTGTCCCGTGTTCGGTGCCGCGCGCGAGTTGAATGGCACGCGATTTGAATGTACTTCAATTACTTCAATGTACAGAATATTCCTCCGGCGGGGCAATCCGCGTATTTGCAAATCCGTGTATTATAAACCCGCGTATGTTAAGGGCCGACTGTACAGTAATACTTATCAAAGTAGTCATGTACAACATCTTAATATACTGAAATTGTGTAATTTTTCACTTGTGCAATTGCATCTCAAAGAAATTTATCTCCTTTTTATGCTTAAACTTTTGACTGTGAAAATCCAGTTGAGTGGTCCATAAAAGAGACTGCGATAAACCAACAGGCTGCCAAGATTTTGGCGTAAATTTTTAAGAGTGCATGCCAAGTGACGGATTTATAGACTGTGCCTTCTAGGTCTTTAAGTCCCCATACATCACCCCTGTACCACTACAGCTGCTCCCCGACTTAAGACGGGGTTAGGGACTGACATCCAGGTCGCAAGTCGAAATGGTCGTAAGTCGGAAATACTTAAATAATACATAGAAAATCTAAAATGGGGGTCTCTTTTTCTTTTCATCACCACAAAACACTCACTTTTAAGCTTGCCAGCCATTTTAAAGTGAATTGCAGATGAAAATTTTGTCAGTGTACTGACTTTGGGACTTGAAAATACGCAATTTGACCAAATTTTGGTGCAACTGAGGCAGGTCGTAAGTGCGGGTGGACGTAAGTCGAGTAGCTCGTAAGTCGGGGAGGAGCTGTATAGAGTTACAGCTTATTGGCTGTTACAAATCTGTTCAATTTCGTCCTGAAGTAATGATGTATTTCTAAATGAGTTTATTCATAATCGTTGGGATGACCGTTTATGACGAGAAAGATATTTGGCTAAATTACATAAAGATACATACATTCATTATTTCAAACAGGAGCACGTAGAAAGTTATCAGAAATCTTTTACATGAATTAACTGTTAAACTCTGGTAACAATTTCACGCTTTCGGAGGAGGCATTTAATATACAGTGGTCCCTCGGTTAACGAACGGTTCGATTAATGAATTACCTCCTATAAGGATCTTCAATTCGGTTAACGAACAAAACTTCGATTAACGAACTCCTTACGAGCAACACATTTTGTTGTGAGCATCAGCTAATCAGCTGATCGGCTAGTATGCCAATTCAGTAATCTGTTCTATGTTTACATTCGTTTCCAGTGGAGCAAATATCAAGAAAGTTGTGCTCTTTAATATTTTTGCATTTTTTATAATAAAATTATTAGTCATTTTAAAATTTAGTTAACATATTGATAATACATGCAGTACAGGGAACTAGTTTTCTGTGCATCCATCAACAGCTTGACTCAGCCACCAGGCGTCAGTTTTGCTTTGTTGACAATGGAGTGAACATCTATTTTGTTGGTATCTTGAATGTTTTTGCATTTTTACATTGAAATTATTGGTCATTCTGAAATTTAGTTAACATATTGATAATATATAGCACAGTGCAGTGTTGATTTAAATAAAATAATCTTGAATTACACCGAGTAAACTTAAAATTTTATTGGTGAAATGACGGCATCAAGCATGGGTCCCCTGAAAGGTGATTTCTTCTCCATCCCCACTACTTTCTCTTCTCCCTTCTCCTCCACCCCCACTTCAAATTCCCATCATTATCATCAACCAGGAACCTTCTACATACACACCTCAAAGTAAGTGTTTTTTACTGCATTTTTTTTTACTTTGTATGTACTTTTCGGTGAGCTGGAACCAATTACCCAATATCCCATTGAAACAATGGATTCGGGTAACGAAATTTTCGGTTAACGAAAAACCTTCTGGAACGACCCTTATGTTCATTAACCGAGGGACCACTGTATATTTATTTTTACCAACAGTAAGGCATACCAAGACAAATTATGTATCAGTAAAACTACATTATGCAAAAACTAACATTTTAAAATATCAGAATCACACTGTAATAATACACGGCCCCTGAAAATTGGTGGATGAGTGTGATAAGACTTGGCCGCTCGAGCGAACAGCCTTCAGCGGAGGCGGGAAATATAACAATGAACAACTACATATTTCAGTGATTCTGAGATTTTAAAATGTTAGTTTTGCATAATGTAGTTTTACTGATACGTAATTTGTCGTAGTATGCCTTATTATGGGTAAAAATTAATATATATTAAATGCAGCCTTCGAAAGCATGAATTTGTTACCAGAGTTTAACAGTTAATTCATGCATAAGATTTCTGATAGACTTCCTATGTGCTCATGTTTGACATAATGAATTTATGTATCTTTATAATTATAATTAGCTAAATATCTTTCTCGTCTGAAACGGTCATCCCAACAATTATGAATAAACTCATTAAGAATTACATCATTGTTTCAGGACGAAATCGGACAGATTTGCAACAGCCAATCAGCTGTAACTCTTGAAGAGGGGGCTGGGGCATCTTTTCTCAGCTGGGAAAAAACGCACAATAGCTGTGTCACAGTACAAATACTGTACTGTCGTCACCAAGAAGTGCAGTATATTCGTCTCAATCTCCTGGTGATCTGGAACCATCGACTTCATGAGATACAGGAGATCTTCACCAAGGGTAATCCAAACTATAGTAGATAAACTATTTATTCTTTTGTTTCCCAGTAGCCTGCATGCATATCTTCATTTTTGTAAGCTAATATACTTGTACTGGGTGTTTCGGAAATAACTTTCGTAATTCTGGCGGTGTATTCCTGAGATGTACAGTCGGAGTCAAAAGTCTTGAACACTGACAGTAAGTACCCAAAGATCTTAGGTATTAAGGAGAGTTTTATCCCATTTTGTGGTTCAGGCATAATATGTGATGACAAGTAGTTAGTGACTGTATATCCCAATCATATGTGTATAACTCAGAAGTAGATGCCAGATATTGCTAAGTGTTCAAGACTTTTGACCCCGACTGTACATAAGGATAAATGATTTCATGACCATAGTGTCAATACACCATAGTTTCAGTTATACCACAAAATTGGGTAGGGGATGACTGCAACAGGTCTATGGACATAAACATACAGTAAATTATCAAGCCCTATTTATAGTAAGTGGTAACAGTCGAGTGGGTCTGTTGATAATCCTCATGCACTGACACATACATCTCATGAAGTAAGATTCACAATCAATGTTTAGACTGGCATTATTAGCGACCACCTTATTGGCCCATATCTGATACCCCAATGACTGACAAGTGAAACATACACATTTTCTTAGGGACACTTTGCCAGTGATGCTTGAGGATATGCCCCATCAGGAAAGTCAACAGCTGTGGTGCATGCCTGATGGTGCCCCAACTCATTTTGCTTGAGTAACAACCGAATTTCAAAATGTTGGGTATCCTGGCAGGTGGATAGGACATTGCATCCCTGTTCCATGGCCATTTCAATCACCTGACATAAATTCCCTTAACTTCTACATGTGGGGTCATATTAAAAACAAAGTGTAATCTATAGGTCTGAAACCTGCATTCAGGAAGAGGGACAAAATTTGAATATTTAATGTAAAACCCATATCAGATTACATATGATTGTAAATAAACTCACTTGAAACACTGGATATTTAATTTATACTTTGTAGATTTTATCACATCTCAACCCCAACGGTCATGTGTTATAACTCTGAAACTGTGGTGAATTGACACTATGGTCATGGAGTCATCTATCCTCATGTATGTCCCAAGAATACACACCCAGAATTATGAAAAGTATTTCTGAAACACCCTGTATGTTTCTTAAGAACTTTCATACATCGTAAAAATTGCGCATACACTCTGAACCACCACAAAGGTGAAATTCAGCTCAACCAAGATGGATAAGTGATTCTTTCTTTCAATTCTCATTAGCCTGTATGCATATCACTATTTTTGTGAAATGAAAATACTGTTATGTTTTTTACATGATAATCACACATAAAGTGCGCAACAAATTTACCACAAGCCACAACAGAAGAGTTTGTCCCCAGTATTTCTTTATTTTTTCCACAATAATGCTTAACTATTAATTTCACATTATTCTCTTCTTAACTTAAAGCAATTCATTATTTCAATGAGAGTGAAAGGGGTGTGAATGAGAAATAATGAGTAAAAAAGGTTTGAATGGAGTATGTGAGAGAATAAGTATGAGAAGGGTGAGTATTGTACAGTACAGCGAGTTCTGCTATAACGCGTGTTTTGACAACGCGAATTGGCTCTAACGCGATTTATGAATAGAGGAACGATATTTGTATAACGCGAACGCTTGTTTGCTGTAACGCGATTTTTGCTTACTATTTCTCCAATTTTGTGGTATTAACTGTGAATATGGTAAAGAAGAATATCTCCAAGAAGCGTTCTGGTGATCGCATTCCCAGTGATGATCGTAAAAGAAAGGCTATAACCCTTGAAGAGAAGCTCGATGTTATCAACCTCAAAATCACCCTTCTCCCCCATCAAGTTATATTCATATTTTTTCAAGGTAAAGTGTTACATTTACTGTATGATTTCATTATTAGATATGAATGTAACATGTATTTAGACTAAGCTATCCTTTGTGTTAAGCTAACTACTCAATTTTTTTTCGATTTCGATTAGTAATCTGCACCTAACCCTATTTTCTCCATAAGCCCTGTTATTTCTATTACACGAATTTCTATAACACGATGTTTTACAAGAACACAACTATCGCGTTATAGCAGAACTGACTGTACTGTATACAATACAGAGCAATGTTATGGAAAAAAGGAGACTTTACATGACATCTTACTAATTAGTGTGCAATATTGGACTAATTAGTGTACAGTATTGGACTAATTAGTGTACAGTACAGTGAGTTCTGCTATAACGCGTGTTTTGATAACGCGAATTTGCTCTAACGCGATTTATGAATTCGGAACAATATTTGTATAACGCGATCGCTTGTTTGCTATAACGCGATTTTTGCTTACTATTTCTCCAATTTTGTGGTATTAACTGTGAATATGGTAAAGAAGAATATCTCCAAAAAGCATTCTGATGATAGAATTCCCGGTGATTATCGTAAAAGAAAGGATATAACACTTGAAGAGAAGCTTGATGTTATCAACCTCAAAATCACCCTTCTCCCCCATCAAGTTACATTCATATTTTTTCAAGGTAAAGTGTTAAATTTACTGTATGATTTCATTATTAGATATGAATGTAACATTTATTTAGACTGTGCTATCCTTTGTGTTAGGCTAACTACTAAATTTTTTCGATTTCGAGTAAACTGCACCTAACCCTATTTTCTCCATAAGCCCTGTTATTTCTATTACGCGATTTTCTATAACACGATATTTTACAAGAACACAATTATCGCGTTATAGCAGAACTACCTGTATTGGAAAATACTAAAATAATAAACATGAGTAGCTAAATTGATACGGTATTGTCACCCCATCCAACATAAGCTGCACAAATATCCTCTCAGAGGTAACCAAGTCTTACCCTGTCTGGATATTCTTCTTTAACACATTCCTGACACATCCTCACGACTTACATAGCTGCTCCAATCTGGACAGTCTGAAAAATATTGACATACAGTTAGACGATACAAAAATTACATTTTTTTTTTTTTACGGATTAGCCCACCAGGGCACAGGTTAGTGACCCACATCAGGGCCTGGGGGCATAATAATAATAATAATAATAATAATAATAATAATAATAATAATAATAATAATAATAATAATAATAATAATAATAATAATAATAATAATAATAATAAATAATAAATAATAAAAAACAGAAAAATTGTTAATAAAAATATAATAATAATACTGTAATAATACAGTGGTCCCTCGGTTAACGAGCACAATCCGTTCCAGCAGGTTGCTCGTTAACCGAAAATCTCGTTAACCGAAACCATTGTTTCAATGGGTTTTTGGGTAATTGGTTCCAGCTCACCGAAAATTGCCTAAATTCAACAAAAATGGTAGAAAAGTTCACTTACTTTGAGGTGTGTATGTAGAAGGCTCCTGGATGATGATGATGATGTGAATTTGAAGTGGGAGGTGGAGGAGGTGAAGGGAGAAGAGAAGGAAGTGGAGGTGGAGGAGAAGCATTTTACTGCTTCTTGGAAGGTGAGTCACCTTCCATGAAAATGTCAGGAACCTCTGGACTGACAGATTCTCCACCATGAACATCCTCTCTCCTTCTTGAAGTGGAAGGCTGAGGGATAGCATCTTGTTCCCTCTGCCTTTTACTGAAGAGTGTCAAATGTGGTCTGTGGGGCATCTGTCCTCCTCACCATTAACTTATGTTTAAAGAAGGAGACCACTGAGTCCTCAACATGACACAAAGTTAATTCAGTTTTTTCCACTTCTGGGTGCTTTGAAGCCAGTTCCCTGAACTTCTCCCAGTAGTAAATCACATCTTTCAACTGTTTAGCTGACCTATGGTCATCATTTTCAATTTCCTCCTCACCATTGTCAGCCTCTACCTGTAACATCTCATCCAGTTGCTTCAAGTCATTAGGAGTAAGTTCGTCCTCATGAGACACCACAAGCTTTTCCACATCCTCCTCCTCCTCCTCTTCAAGGCCCAATGACTGACCAATGGACACAATCTCCTGGTCCAACTCTGTTTCTTCCTCAAATCCCTCAAAATCATGGACTACTGATGGCCACAGTGCCTTCCAGGATGTTGAATTGTGTCTTCCAGAAATGTTTCAGTGTTAGTTCAGGATCATTGGAAGTTGCCTGATGACACCTCCTAAACATTTTCTTCATGTACAACTTCTTCAAGTTGCTGATCACATTCTGGTCCATTGACTGTATGATTGATGTAGTGTTTGGAGGCAAAACAACACTTTCACAAAGTCAAATTGATACTCCAAATTTCTGGCTAGGTCAGGGTCATGACCAGGAGCATTATCCATGAGGAGAAGAGCCTTTAAAGGGAGTTTATTGGTGGTTAGGTAGCTCTTGACAGAAGGGCAAACCACATCAACAGCCCATTCATTAAAGAGATGTCTTGTCACCCATGCCTTACGGTTGGACTTCCAATAAACTCCAAGCTTTGTTCTTACCACTTTCTGTTGCTTGAACACCCTGGAGTTTTCAGAGTGGTAGACAAGCACAGGCTTCAGTCGGAAATCCCCTGAAGCATTGGCACCAAGCAATAGAGTGAGACGGTCTTTCATGGGTTTATGCCCAGGTAAAGAGGCTTCATCTCTGGTGATGAATGTTCTTTTGGGCATCTTTTTCCAGAACAGCCCAGTTTCGACAACATTGAACACTTGCTGTGGAAGATAATTTTCTTCTTCCATCAGTTTTTTAAATTCATCTAATAACTTTGCTGCCCCTTCCTTATCAGCACTAGCAGCTTCACCATGCCTAACAACACTGAAAATGTCACTTCGTTTCTTAAATTTTTCGAACCAGCCTTTGCTGGCCCGAAAATCTTCAAATTCTGTGCCTGAAGAATCAGGTTGATCTGTCTTTAAATGTTCATAAATCTCCCTGGCTCTTTCACAAATGAATTCAGTAGAAACTGAATCACCTTTCATCTGTTTTTCCCTAATCCAGATGATAAGTAACCTCTCAGTTTCTGCAATTAGGGATCTACTTTTAAACACTTGTAGATTTGTCTCTCACTTTCACTTCTTTAAATCTGTCTTTCTGTGCAAGAATTGTCGACACAGTTGATGTCGACATACCATATTCTTTGCATAGCACATTTGTTCTAATGCCTTGTTCATGTTTTTTTATGATTTCCTGCTTGGTTTGGATTGAAATCGCTTTTCTTGATCTCTTAGGCCCCATGCTGGATTCAAACAATGTCAACACGTGCTTTTCAAAGTTAAACGTGTTGTAAATAAAGATTATTTTCTTTAAAATAACACTGCACTGCGCTATATATTGTCAATACAGTGACCCCTTGTTTAACGAACGCCTCGGTTAACGAACTGCCTTCCATAAGGATCTTCAATTCGGTTAACGAACAAAAATTCGGTTAACGAATTTCTTACAAACCGACCTCAACATGTTTTCGCTTGCACTGACCGGGCAACCAGCTTTAGTATCAGTCCGCCAATACATTAATCGGTTCTAGGGCTTAAATTCCTTACTATTTTAGTAAATATCAAGACGTTTATACTATTCAATAATTTTAAAAGTTTAATATTCAATTTTTTAGTCATTTTAACAATTATTGAACTTAATTGAAGGTAAAGTGACTAGTTTAATGCGCGGCATCCAGCCTCTTAACACAGCAAACAGGCGTTAGTCTCTCTCTGTTTTCACTGGAGGTAACATCTTGCTTGAGACTCTCTTCAACTAAATGCTTTTTTCTGTGTTTCCAAGCAAATTATTGGTCATTTTGAAATATATTTTACATATTGACAATATATAATGCAGTGCAGTGTTGATTTAAAGAAAATAATCTTGAATTACACCAAGAGAGCTAAAATTTTATGGGTGAAATGGCGCCATGGGGTGACTTCTCTTCCACCCCAATGCCTTCTCTTCTTCCTTCTCCTCCACCCCTATTCTAAATCCCATCATCATCATCCAGGAGCCTTCTACATACACACCTCAAAGTAAGTGAACTTTTCTACCATTTTTGTTGAATTTAGGAAATTTTCGGTGAGCTGGAACCAATTACCCAAAAACCCATTGAAACAATGGTTTCGGTTAACGAACTTTTCGGTTAACGAACGACCTTCTGGAACGGATTGAGTTCGTTAACCGAGGGGTCACTGTATGTAAAATCAATTTCAAAATGACCAGTAATTTGCTTGGAAACACAGAAAAAAAGCATTTAGTTGAAGAGAGTCTCAAGCAAGATGTTACCTCCAGTGAAAACAGAGAGAGACTAACGCCTGTTTGCTGTGTTAAGAGGCTGGATGCCACGCATTAAACTAGTAACTTTACCTTCAATTATGTTCAATAATTGTTAAAATGACTTAAAAATTTAATATTAAACTTTTAAAATTATTGAATAGTATAAACTTCTTGATATATACTAAAATAGTAAGGAATTTAAGCCCTAGAACCGATTAATGAATTGGCGGACTAATACTACAGCTGGTTGACCGCCCAGTGCAAGCCAAAACTTGTTGAGGTCGGCTCGTAAGAATCTCGTTAACCGAGGGGTTGCTCGTTAACCGAATTTAAGAATCTTATGGAAGGTAACTCGTTAACCGAAATCTCGTTAACCGAGGCACTCGTTAACCGAGGGACCACTGTAATAATAATAATAATAATAATAATAATAATAATAATAATAATAACAGAGGACCATACATAAATAAAAAAAAATTAAAAAAAGATCAATACAGTAATACCCCGTTTTACGTGGTTAATTGAACCCACGGAGTACCGTGTAAAACGACAAACGCGCAAATGGAATAAGAGAACATATGGGATTAATTGCAACAGAGACTGGGCCGACTCCCAAACTCCACTTTTTCAGACACAATACCTACGTTGTAGTAAAAATAACATCTTAATTTTATGATGGTATGCACACACAATTAATAATTAAGAGAAATATCAATAATATTAGGTTTTTTAACACTTACATTAGTAGAAAAGATGGCTGAGCACACGGGGATGGGGGTTTGGTTCCAAGGCAGAGGGCAGATTATTGGCCCTCACCTGTATCACTTGTATCAATTGTATCACTATCCACCACAGAGGCTTGCAGGACCTCTTTGTCAAATCCCTCAAAGTCCATATAAGTCCATATCCTCACTATCACTATCACTGACTTGGGCCGACTGTGGTGGGTGGCGGGTGAAGAACTCGGTAATGTTTTGATGACTGGGCGACCTTGTGCGCACCCTGCCTGCGCCGCTTCCCGCGTATATGAGTAGATGCACCGCGTAAAGTGGGAATCCGGTTCTGGCGGGGTACCGCGTAAATGTAGAAACGCGTACACGAGAACCGCGTAAAACGGGGTATTACTGTAGTGAGAAATTATATATGTATGCTGTGTTGTCAAAGTAAGAGAAACAATTGAGACCCTACAATTGTGTGTAAATGAGGCAGAAAGTCAGATCAGCAACCTGGGACTTGGTCACAATTTTTGTGATGCCATATGGCAGCAGGGTCTACCATTAGACAACACATTATGCTTCCAATATCTTCCCAGGCGGTAGTACCTCCCTGCTTGATATCTGCCTACTACCTACTGCCTCAACTACTATAAACCAATAAACATGACAGAATCACAGTGCATATACTGTACATACATTGCAGAACTACCACACAAGAAATTAAGGAAATGATAATTAAAAGTTTAATTTCATGAAAAAATACACTCTTTACATCTTTAGATCAGAATCATTCATTAAAGTTTTACTGTACGGGTAATTATAATTTTACTACCTATCAGCTTCTAGCTATTCGTGCATTTTTTTTTTTTTTATTGTCCAGTGTTAGTAGAGGATGAAGCCAGTGTACCCGGAGAAAACCTTTGATGTACGATACGGTCAAACTGGATAACACCCTTCTCACATCAGTCCCAGGCTGGGAATAAGGCCTGTTCTTGATCGCTTTGACTTCCCCCAAGTTGTAAACTTAGGTAGCCATTTACAGCTGGGTAAACTGGGAGAGCAAAGGAATCGAACCACCAACCCTCAGAACAGAAGGCGAGCGCTGTATCCACTCAACCACCTCATGACATTTATGACAACTAACAATTAACAGTAGGCTATAGCCTACAACAGTATACTATAGTAATACTGTACATTAGTTTGATTTTGCCAAATGGTGAATCCATTTCATAATTTATCTATACGTACTGTACTGTGCAGTACTGTACTTGACAAACTTTTCATTTAAATTTGTAGACAGGGCCCAAAAAGTTGAAAGGGCCAAGACAAAGTCTAATACTATACAGTACTGGACTTTCATGAAGTTGGTAAAAAGTGGGGCAGTTGTCTGATGACTGCTGGAGCCTGAAGTTGGTATACCTGGGCTCTGCCATGGTGGTGTATGGGATGATTCCTCTATAGGCCTAAGTGTGTTACTGTTTTCCTTAATGCATCACCAGACTTGCATTCTATATACCTGTACATTAAAACAATCTTTTTAATAAAACTCCAGAAGAAATAAACCTTTAATAAGGTAACAACTCCTGAACACACCTTTACTAAACTTCGTTCATTTTTTTTTTTTTGCTGAGAATCGATTAAAAACAAATCTGTAAGAGTTAAGAACAAAACACCAGGTTAACCAGCAACCTAACAAAAATACTTATAGAAGAAAACTTATTTTTTATCTCAAGAATAAATCAAATCAAGTGGAGGAATAGCATTTTTCATATTCACGGTTCTCCCTATTTTTTCTCATAAATAAAAATACATACTATCACCTGCCTGCATCAAGGAGGGCACCATCTTCATTTACATAAACAGGAAAAGTCTGAATGTTTCATTGACATTAACTTTGCTATTCTGTTTCATTTTCACTGAGAAACAACAGCAACAACCTTCGGAAAATTTTGTATAGAAGAATATAAAATAAAGGGTAAATAAATACTTTACTGTAGTAGGATTTCCAATTTTCTGAAAAATATACTGTAATCAGTTTGGTGATACAAGTGAACGTGGCGACTTCCCAGCAAGTTTCATCATCCTTTCTATATACATGAACCACTTACTGCAAATGTTATTTTTCATTATACAGCATTATAATTTATCATGAACAAGATGAACCAATAAACCCTAGGATGAAAGTATACAGTATTACTATTACAGGTTATCTCCCAATATACATATGTCATGCCTGATAAACAAAACCTTGATTTAATGAAAGTTACATTTTGACACCTATTTTCCTTTATAAAAAAATAAATAAAAACAACCATTCACTTTGATGAATAACAATCACAATTGGAGACCTTTTTTCTTCAAAGAATGCAAACTTTTCACTATTACAAGGTCAAGATGACCGCCCAGGAAGTGCAGAGATGCATTTATCTTCTACTGTACCTATCCAATGTCCATTGTTTTCAATGTATTCATTCTTTACTATTATTTTTACAGGACATAATACTGTGTCCTATACAGTGCTAACTTTATGTGAAAAACCCTGGTTGAGCAACATTTTCCCTCCCACGAAAATAACCCCCATTAATACTGTACATGGTCTATACCCAATTCAATACAGCAATGTATATATTTCTCCAGAATACCTGCATCAGTAGTTTACTTAAACTTTGGTTAGCTAGGTTCGTATAGAAAGGCTGGGAGGTAAGTTGGTCGCTGGCTGGGAATAGTTCCATTGGTTAACATTTGGGGTCAGTTAGCCACTGCAAAGCATTTTTCATTAGAAATAGCAGTCATGGCATAGTCGTGAAGTGGGCAAGTGGTAGCACCTTTAATTCCAGGAAAAACTAAGTTTGGAAGAAATGCACCTTTGGTACTTTTGTTTATCTATAGAATTCCTTACTAGGTAATTTGGTGCAGATGTCATCGCCACCACCATGTTTCTAAACTGTTGACAGGATCACCAACAGGATTTGTTTATTAGATTAGGTAATTTAGGTCAGATTGGTTTGTTTTTCTTATTTGACAAATTATCAGTGGCACAGTAGGTGTTCGCTGGCGAGAGGAGACGCTCTTCAGGTGTGAAATGTTAATCCAAACAACCCAATTGCTAAACTAATTACTGGTGTCTATTAATTTAGAAAGAATTTTTAATAGTCTATACAAAAGTGTTCCATTTGTTGCTCCTGTGATAGTGGAGTAGACAGACAGCTAACACCATAAGTTGGTCGATTGCATTTACTTTTTCCACAGATCTTCTCTGGGTGATATAAAGTAATAAAAATGATACGACAACTCTAGATTTTAATTACAAGTATTTTTTTAGTTCTCCTATATCTACAATCATAAATCACCTGTAATGAGCAGGGTATGAAGGATGAGGGAAATTGCAGGGTAAACCATAACATAAAACTGTTCATGACACTAAAATGATTTCTCTACATGCCTTTATACAGAAGAAATTAATTATTTACCATATATATTCAACCAAAAGATCTGCCATGTGTCAGCGCGTATTGTTGTCTGCTGTTTGTGTCAGTGCAACAACCGGCCTGCTCGGTCAAAAGGTACTCGTCCACAAAAAACGTAAAATTACACCATGGCACTTCAAGGAAGTTTCAGTACTTTCAATGGTACCAGATATTAAAGTAAGTTCTTTCTGTTTAACATGCCGGGGGGTCCGGAATGTCTAGGTAGTTCAGTTAGGTAAGGTAGTTATTACTAACTATTATGCAAAAAACATGTGGAAAAAATTAATGCAGCGGAACAATAACTCCTGGTGTTAGCCGTCTGCTCCATGTTTACCATTGCTCCTACTAGTTTTTCGTGTGTACGGAGCAAAAACATTATAATATCCAAGATATTTGTTTTTCTTTAAGCACTCGTGTAAGCAGCTGATAATAGTGGTGCACTGAGCTGGCAGGCCCACAAAGGTTTGTCTTTATTACAATTAAGTCAGAGAAACAAATAGTAGTTAAGTTACAATTCCTCCAGACCTTTAATAAAATTTGAAAGGTAAGGCAAGTTGGTAAATTTGCATTTTCAACCAATATGGCTCTCGAGTTAAGCAATGTGTTTTTCCGGTGGGCTTTTTTATGTTTTATTCGAATTTGATATTGACTTTTTGTAGGAAATCGCTCATTTTTGAGATAATCCCCCAAAAGTGATTTCCAACAAAAATCACTATCAAAATCAATTAAAATACATAATATACAATCGGAAAACACATTGCTCAACTCAATAACCAACCTAACCTGGAATGAATACTTTGGTATTGTTGCATTTTCAACCAATATGCAGCCAAAGGTTTTTTACTTAAAAAATGAACAGATTTCATCGAAATCTATCTTCTGAACCCTACTTTTACTTGTCGCAATTGAATAACAAGCGAGATAATTCTAACCTTTGGCTGTATATTGGTTGAAAATGCAACAATACTGGAGATTTCTTCAATTACATTTCTTTTTCCTAATGGTCCACAACAACATGTGACACTGTAAACTATTACAAAGTTTTCTTCTATAGAGATTATCTTATAATATATTTGTTAACTTTAGTATGATTACATAGGATATGCTGGGTGTTTTGGTTAATTCTACCGGTCTGAAATAAAATATTGACACTACATTAACCATGATGAGAATGGTCAGTAATACTGAGTTTCCTAATTACCATTAAATCAATAATTTTGGAAAGGTTTCACGTTGGAATTCAGACTACAAACAAAGGGTTGGCCCCTTCCCTTCACGTTTATTCTTCTCTTAAGGTGAGTTTCTAGTAATTTCTCTAATATGTTGGCTGATCTTTTCTGAAATTTAACCTCTGGTTGCTTAGAAGGTCATTACCCTTAACCATGAAAAACACTCATTTTTATACTTAACAACTATTTAGAAGACAGTTACAAAAATAAAACACATTCCTGGTTTACTAAATAAACATTATGTCTCCTACACATTAAAAAAATGGCCTATGGTAAGACAACCGTGTCCAGTTAAAATTAAGTGAACTCATCTACTAGTAACAAAGCTACTATAGTACTGACACACCGCAATACAAATACCTGAAAAGAGAAAGTTTTGGAATGATCCACTGAGATAATATAGTAAGTTACGAGCTCTAACAGACACTTTAAAAAAAAACAATATTTTTAGTCACAAAAATGTGGGAGTACACGAGCACCTCCGTCAGCCATGGCCAAAACAACACTTACGTGATGTCAACAAAATTACAAATAACAAATTGGCTCTGATGTGATCATGTGACCCTAATTTATTCGATCATAAAATAATACATATTATTTGACAATATTTTCAAAAAATATATAGAAACTATTTAACTGATATTTTGAAGTAAATTAGTACTTTGAGACACTACGGGCGTATCGAAAGTTTAGTGAGTTTCGTATAACAATCTAATAGTTCATAATAACTATAAAATTTGCTTTATCCTTACAACAATAATGATTTTAGTATAATACAGATACAGGTTATGGAATACAGAAACATTTTGAATTTATAGTTTGCTCCTGACGCCATATATGATATAATCTTGAATCTCAGGTCTGTAATTATTCTTGGTGTGATTGGTGTCGGCACTCGGCAGGCTCCGGTGATATGCAGTGCCTGCCAAATTGCCAATGAGGGTTACTCTACTCTCATTGGCCTAGCTTATATTATTATAGGTGGGCAAGGGGTAACTTAACACAAGTCTATAAATACCACAGAAGACATTACACAGTCTAGTGTTCATTCACACCTGGAACTGGTAGAATGGGTAGATGGCTGCCCCATAGGGGTGCTTAAGGTTGAAGAAGCCACAAGCTCAGAAAACTGTCAGAACGAACTATTTGATAGAGTTGGCACCGAGTGTTGGAGTGACACCATTCAAAACCAAGCTTGTCACTTGGCCAACACTGACGCAGATACAGATGCTTTCTGGAACCAGTACATGCCAGCAGTACTTACAGAGAAGTGACCGACCGCCCAAGCATCTAACAAGCCGATCTGTGGCGAAGAGGATAAATGTTTAAAACTAGGATTCCCATTCACGCGTTTACAGTGCGTTTGCGTTGTGTTTTCAATCGCTGCGGGGAGTGATTGGCATGTACTGTAAACGCATAACACTAACGCAACTGGGAAGATGTTGGAAGCGTAATGTATTGTCTAATGGTAGACCCTGCTGCCAGGCATCACGAAAATTGTGACTAAGTCTCAGGTTGCTGATCTGACTTTCCGCCTCATTTACACAATTACAGGGTCTCATTTATTTTCTAACTTTGACAACACAACATACAGTACATATATCGTTTCTCGTTATTAATCTTTTTTCATTTTATTATTATTATTATTATAAGTGTTGTTATTATTAGTTATTATTATTTATTTTTAATTTTGTAGTTTTTTATTATTTACTATGAACTAATTATTATTATTATTATTATTACATTTTCGTCTCCCAGGCCCTGATGTGGGTCAGTGACCTGTGCCCCGGTGAGCTAATCCCTGTAAAAAAAAAATAACAACACTGTCCCTGCCTCATTGCACCTGTGTTAGACATCTGTATCACGCTGTACTGCTGTACATAAGACATCTGTGAGTAAATTATTACAAAAACCTGGGGGGTTTCACATCAAATTCGCTCTCATTAATACATGTTAAATGTATTGTAACATGGAAACTGCAGAATCTGACAGTTTACCATAGAGACATTGTGGTTTAGAAGTATCCAAGGATTCCATCCTCCAATTTAATGCACTATTTGTTGAATCACCAACTCTCTCTCTCTCTCTCTCTCTCTCTCTCTCTCTCTATATATATATATATATATATATATATATATATATATATATATATATATATATATATATATATATATATATATATGCAAGTAAATCACTGTGGGTGCGCGTGATCCAGGTATACGCTGATCACCACAAGGAAAGAAAAAACACGAAGTTCCCAAGGCATTATGCCTCCTCAATATTACCTTGTAATTCAATTGACAGTAGGAACATCAAAGAATCTAGTCTCATTAAACATACCGAATCCGTTACCATGAATTTGAGTAACGATATGTACAAATTGGACAATTTTGTAATTAAGAAGATTTGTAACCAGGTGAGAAGGTTGGGTCAGTTTTCCCTCTGACCTGACTACTGACCGCTGCGGTGCTTTTGTAAAGATTAGTAGGGTCATTACCTATACTTGACCTCTGTGGACTTGTTCTAATCCTCCTCTGTATATATATATAACTTGTTCTGCACTTCTATTTTAGTCTGTACTCACCCCTGAAGATGTGAATTACATCTTCAGGGGTGAATTACACGAAAGCGCTTGGGAACTTCGTGTTTTCTTTTTCCTTGTGGTTATCAGCACACACACACACACACACACACATATATATATATATATATATATATATATATATATATATATATATATATATATATATATATATATATATATATCAATAGTATAGTATTGTACACTGTAATTCCACGGCTGGGACAGAGATGAACACTGACAGGTATTGCGTCAATAATTGATATTTCGTCAATTTGACCAAGGACAGCTGACAAAACTACGAGATACTTATTTCCGATAGAGTCCTTATGCTAGCTGGTATTCCTTAGGGCAGGTGGTCACCCATCCAAGTATTAACCAGACCCAGTGTTGTTTAACTGTACAGGTATTAACACTTTACCAGTACCACTTCCCAGGGCTGAATTACCCAAAATGTTAAGTTCTTAAGTGCTTCGGCATAGACAGCAACATAAGTAAATTTGCTGATGATACTAAAATAGGACGTGTTATCAAATCTGACGAGGACTCGGCAAAACTACAGGAGGATCTAAACAAATTTTTCGAATGGTCTGAAAAATGGCAGATGACATTCAACATCGACAAATGTAAAGTACTCAGTATAGGAAATGTAAACAGGGAAACCAGATACCAGATGAACAACGATGCCATAGAGAAATCCGACTGCGAGAGAGATTTAGGAGTAATGATAAGTAGGAACCTTAAGCCAAGTAAACAATGTGTTTTTGCTCGTAACAAGGCTAATAAAGTACTTGGGTTCATACAAAGGAGTGTTAGTTACAAGACTAGCGAGGTCATCCTAAAACTGTATCTTGCTCTTGTGAGACCACACCTGGATTATGCAGTTCAGTTCTGGTCACCGTATTACAGAATGGATATAGAATCCTTGGAAAGAATTCAGAGGAGAATGACAAGACTAATCCCGGGCATTAGGAACCTTGAGTATAGAGACAGGTTAAAGCATCTTAATCTGCACTCCCTTGAGAGACGTAGAGCGAGGGGCGACCTGATAGAGGTGTTTCAGTGGAAGGCAGGGCTAAACAAAGGGGACATTACAAAGGTACTCAAATTATCCAACCAGGAGCGAACTCGTAACAATGGTTTTAAATTGGACAAATTTAGATTTAGGCGTGAAATAGGTAAACACTGGTTTGGAAACAGAGTGGTGGATGAGTGGAACAAGTTACCAAATATCATCATTAACTCGAATACGCTGAATTGCTTCAAACATAGGTTGGATGCTCATATGAGCAATAGGGGTTGGGTGTAAACGGGACTGCCCAGTATGGGCCAATAGGCCCGCTGCAGTTTCCTCCATTCTTATGTTCTTATGTTCAACCCCACATTTACTAATTCTAGCTGATGCATTCTGTTATCAAGTATACTGTATACCTACAAAGTGCACTTCATATTTTCTCTTCCAGGAATGTGTTCTTTATAAAAGTAGTAGTAGTATCATGTTGGAAACACCGCTTCTTGTCCAGTCAGCGAAGTTTTAATTAGGTAACATTGGGTCTGGTTAGTACTTGGGTGGGTGACCGGTTTGGTCTTAAGAACACTAGATGCCGCTACCATAAGGACTCTACTGGAAATAAGTACAGTATCTCATGGCTTTGTCATTTGTCCCTGGTCAAATCGACTAAAAAATACAGGCAAAAACAAAAACGGGGTAGGGTACTAAGATCCTGCCTTTAACACACCTTTATGGTTCGTAACTCATAACGCTCTTCAAAAATGGGGTACCCCCCCCCCCCACTTGGTACTGTAATGTCATCTCGTCTGGTCCCCAAGGTATGCTACTCTCAGTTGATTGAGTACGTCTGAAAAGGGACCACCAGCTTGGTGCCTGCACTATGGCACCTAAGATACTAAATGAAATTAAAATGCCTGCAGCTGCCTAGCTTATAGTATAAGATCGACAAGGGGATATTTAATAAAAGTTTGTGCATACAGTACCAGAGGACATTACTCCGTAAACTGCTCATATCTGGAACTAACGGACGTCCTCCCAACCAGAAGGCAAGTGCAGAAAATTGTCAACGGTAACTTTTTTAGAGTGAGAATTGTGAACTTTTGAAATTTTCTGTCAGTAAATGTTGCAACAGTACCGAGTGTGAGCTCATTTAAGGTCAAACTTGACCAATATTGGCGCCGATTCAGATACATCCTGATTCAGTGCATTCACAGTACAGTAATTGCCAACAGTGTGTAACAGAGAAATGACTGACCAGCTAGTGTTAACCAGTGGTGGACAGGATAAAGTTAAAATTTCACAAGGTCTTAAATATTCCCTTAACTTCGGTGTTCATTGTTAAAGTATCCCTCATTTATGATTTATATACAGTAAATGGCAACTGATTTTCATTGTTTATCTTTCATATTCATCAATGCTTTCTAGACATCTTTATGTACGGTATGCTATAATTTTCCTACTTACACTCCTATAAATAAAATTTTACTCCAGATATCTAATGCTTTAAACATGTAAATAAGGGAAATAACAAAACATGTATGGAAAAATATTTACTGTCACCAACTGATAATGCTGCATAAACAATGCTTTATTGATGATTTTATATACATAAACTATTAACAGACAATAGTCATGTTTACTTTATTGCCTTGGATAAAAATCAGTCAACTTATTATTATAGGCCTATATGACTGTTACGCATTATATATCATGCGTATATTGTACAAGCAAAACAAGAATGTACAATATATGAAGCTTGTGGTAGTACACAGGTTAAGCGGTCATACAGTATTTTACTAATCTTCTGAGACAGGGTGATAAATACATAATTTTTTTATTTTCGACAAATATGAGTTTACCTGCCGTTTAGGTAGTCTGTTTTTTTTTACAACCTTCATTGTCCAGTGTTCAGTTATGTACTGTGGCAAAGTATTAAGTACATATTTTTTTAAATTATGATGAAATTGATTATAAAGAACAACAAAGGCAAATCCAGCACAGTACACTTAATGGAGATCAGTAAATCTGAGTATAATTAATTTACTATAATGAACTTGCAACACCACTCCAACTGATAAAAAATACGTTGATACGTTTCTTTTTCTTTATTTTAGGTTGTTGGTACACAGGTACTCAGGTCACTTTCTCAAAGACTGTTTAAAATGTAGTTATTTGTGAAAATCCTCAATTCTTACAGTACACACGGGCATTTCTCTTTCATAATTCCATGAAAATCGAGTCTCCATGAATAACAAAATGATAGGTTCAACCCATTTTAGTCCATATTATATAAACCATTATTTCGAAGTTAAATTATCTCTCAGCTTCTGTAACGTGTCAAAATAATAGATAAATATGAACCTGTGATTTTGCTGTGACATTATTTTGTATTTTTTCGTGTCCTCTCGGTGTTCTCATTGTTCTCCAGATTGTTTCTCCAGGTAGTCTCCTCATTGTTCTTTAGGGGTTCTCTTTCTTGATCTCCAGGTAGTCTCCTCATTGTTCTTCAGGGGTTCTTCAGGTAGTCTCCTCATTCTTCGGGAGTTCTTTTTTGTTCTACAGATAGTCTCCTCATTGTTCTTCAGTGGTTCGCTTTCGTGTTCTCCAGGTAGTCTCCTCATCGTTGTCATAACTGTTTTTCAGGGAGTCTCATCACTGTTCTCCAGGCCCTGACACCTGTAAAAGTACAAACCAACTCCTTCCCTCATCCAAATGATGAGGAAGAGAAAAACTATGGGAAAGAGAGAGGGAGAGAGAGAGAGAATACATAATCAAAGCTCTAAATGATAAGAAATTTGGTTTGTGATCACCTGCAAGAACATCAATGTAATACTGGTATTAGCCGGAAATATTTAACAGGATAATAAGTTAAATAACCAGCAGTAATGTGCAATTAGACAAATATTTATGGGCCAGAGAAACAACTAAATAATATGAGCAGTACTATTACCTTATAAATCAGCTGTCAGGTTATGAAGGTATAAGTTTAATAATCCTCCATCACATTATATCATACAGTGTCAGAAGTAAAGTTTTTAGGAGTACTGTACTGTACAGCATATAAACAAAGTATGGACTTTAATCAGAATGAAGTTAGGATTCCTAAACAAACATAAAAAAATAAATTGCAATTAAATTATTAGTAACAAACCTATCTTGGGTGAGATTATGTTTAGTATCAACATTTTGTTCCTCAAGGTAACAAAAAAAATAAGATGGGAAAGCCCCCGAGTCACTGACCTGAATGCCCTCCCTCCCTTTGCTGCACTGCCGAGGTCACACGGGTCCAAGAGGGGTCGGTGACCTGTCCACAAACACGTCTTCAACATGTCAGTCAAGAGTAAGAGTTCACATCCTAGTCGCTAGGCCGAGCATATTTGGGATTTCCAAGGGCATTGCAGTCTAAAGTTGCAAGGGATGCCTCTTAGAAACCCCAAGTTTGCTACAGCGTTCAGAGGTCAGGTGGGTGGTGCCAGGACAGACCTTTGTCAGAAGAGCTGTCAGGGGTGTCCATCGTACACCAGGAGTTGTCAAGTTGGTGCTGGGATTGTCCATTGTATACCAGGAGCTGTCAAGTTGGTTTTGGGATTGTTCACTGTACACCAGATGTCAAGTTGGTGATGGGATTGTTCATTGTATACCAGATGTCAAGTTAGGATTGTTCATTGTACACCAGTAGCTGTCAAGTTGGTGATAGGATCATTCATTGTACACCAGTTGATGTCAAGTTGGTGCTGGGAGTGTTCATTGTACATCAGATGTCACGTTGGGATTGTTCATTGTACACCAGGAGCTGTCAATCTGATGTTTAAGATACTTTTTAGCGCGCGTGTGTGTGTGTATGTGTGTGTGTGTGTGAAAAACCCAAACAACTCCAGCTCTGTAGCCTTGTGAGTCAATAGAATACACAGTAATGTCATCCAAATAAACGTGACTGTGAGTTTCATCACACCAACCGTGTCATTTCAAAATACGTAGGTCTTCAGAATCTATTGTAGCCGTGCCACGAAAACATTAAACAATGAGCATTAGAGAATACAGCTAATGAGTCGTGAGAACAAATTAAGAAATGTCACTGGGATGTACGGCAATTGTCGTAAAAAAAAGCAACTGTCACTACAACATACACTAATACTGCCATAAGCTTACACACCAGCAAATTCACGAGAACATAGAACAGAAGGGAAAATTTGAAAACTTTCCTGTGCTGTAATGTTCATCCCCCTGGGAAATATTGCCCAAATAACTTTCTCTCAAGTCACATTCCGTATAAAAGTGTCATAACTTATATTAAAAAATTATAAGCGTAAACAAAACTCATACATCAGCTTGTTATGTTGAATAGAGAAAATTACAAGAGCGTGTTGATTGCAAGTCAGAAATGTGTTAAGAATATCAGTTGTAAGAGCTTGTTCATATTCTGTTTTGTCAAGAATAGTCAATGACACCAAATAAGTCAGAGATGCCTACATTAAGTGTTGGAAGGTAAGTTAGTCTCCTTAATGTAAACTGAAGCTCAATAAGCGCAAGAGGGCGAGTTAAGCGTTTTTAAGTTGGGTTCAATAAATGTTGGAGGTTGAGTTAAGCTCATTGAGTGTCTGAGATTGAGTTCATTAAGTTTTTAGTAAAACCCATTAACTGTTTGAAATTAACATCTATAGGTGTTGGAGGTTGAGTTAGGCTCAGCAATTAATGGAGGTTAAGTTAGAATCCGTAAGTGATCGAGGCAGACAGGATGTGGGAGGAAATGTTTGCTGGTGGAGGTCACGGTCTGAAAGTGTCTCGCGCGCGCTTGAATGTCAGAGTTCAGCTTCCAGCCCCAACTGGCTAGGATGAGTCCTCTCGTGGTTTGATGTCACGATGAGGTAATACTTTAGTTTTAGATATCAGTATGATATAAAAAAATCTCACTAGTGTGATAACTTAGAAACATTTATCATGCAACGATCAAGAATGACCAGGTATTTTTTTAATCATATTCGCCACTTATCAGCTTACTGGCCGTTTGGGAGGTTTATTCAGTGTAAGTACAGGAGGAAACTGGGGACCGGGAAACCTGTGGTGTTCGGTAGGGTCACACTGGATAACACCCTTCTCACGTGTGTTTGAGCAGATTCTGTTTGGGTAAACTATAAATTACTGAAAACTGGTATGTATTTACCGATATCTAAGTATTCTTTTTATTTCGGGCGGTTAAAAAGCCAATGGCTTAACAGTATTACAAAGAGATGTTGAGTCAAACATTAGCCAACAAGTAAGTCAGGGTTAGCACACGGTATAGTGTATATATGTCATGGTAAACTTTAGCAACAAGTATCATGATGAAAGCAATATAGACTTGTTTTGAAAGGGTGAAGGGTTAAGGCAAGTTCCACCATAAAGTGGGTTAGAAGCCCAGGATGTTGTGTACGATAACCTTGGACAGGGTCAGTGGCAGCGGCACCACGGTCGTCCCCTGTCCGTTTACCTTACACCTGTCCCTACACATGCCTGCAGTGACTAATACGTGATGGATTTGGGTAGTGTGCTTAAGTGAGAGGGATATTTGGTTACGCTGTCCGCACTGTAGATGTGCTGTGAATTCTACCAATGGGTGGTTTATACTCCAGACAGTCAATTCCAGGTGTATAGTAGCTTGTCTGTATGTTTATGTATTTAGAAATTTTTCAGTTGTAATATGTTTGTAATAAGAAGGTCGTCTGTAATATTTTCGCCTTTGAAAAGTATCCAGTGTCAACAAAAGTCCGACTGTTGGAGATAAGAATTAAAAAAAAAGAGGTGAAGGCGCAGTATAAACAGCAGGAGGGAGGTGAGCGGGACGCGGATAGGTGGATAGGAGTAGCAGAGCCACAACGTAAGTCTAGGAGGGTGTGGTGGCTGCGGTGGGTGGGCGAGGCTTGGGACTTAGCAGGCCAGTAGGGCCCTCCACCGCACGCTCCCACTGTTTCCACTAAGACCCACACCCCGGCCACCGACACTCACACACCGCTGCAACACTCTACACACGTTAGTTAATTCTCAAATACAAACATGAAAGGGAATAGTGAGGGGTGAAACTTCGCCAATGGCCTCTAGTAAGCCACGCTCCTTGACTATAGCCACAAAAACTAGTGCTCTAAGACCATGAGCTACTTTTTTAGTAGTAGTGCGGCGGCCAGCCTGGCTAGCTGCCGCGCCCGCCACCCTCTGCCACACGCCCACCACCCAAATATTCAGCACCAAAACTGTGGTAAAACTAGCCCTATTATCCTAATACATATTCGTTTGTAATTATATGTTGTTTGCATTAGTGAAGTGAAACAATGTATTTCGAAAGCTATTCAACAATAACCTGGAATATGAAGTTTTACACAAATTTGACTACCCTGTCACTTGGTCTTGCGACGATCCTCAATCACAGATTTAGATGACGTCTCACTAGATGACTGCGGAGTACACAATGTTTACTGTTTCACCCATTAGCCATTAGTCGATTACCTTATAATCACTTCACACGATGTAAGCTATGTTAGCTTCGAAACGTCAAAAAATCTCCATCCTTATTTTCCTAACATGAATACTCACAATTTACACCAAAAAAAACATTTACTTTACACAAAGAAGGATAGAAGGTCACGCAAGACTAACCCGACGTAAACAATGGAGCCACCAAAATGGCGCTAAAACTGGCGTTAGACAAAGTAGTGCGAGTTCTCGGGATCAGCTGAGCGTGACGCAGTCAAAGTGACCCCACCAGAGCTGTGGCTACAGACGTACAGTTGCCAGCAAAAGTTCTCCCACAGCCCTGCGTAGCAAGTTTGTGGGAGGACTTTTGCTGGCAACTGTACCTCCTTTATCTTCACCTTTTTCGCTATACCAACAAACCAATCAAATAAATGAGCTGGATTCCAAGTGACCAGTTAGGCAGAATGGGGGAAATAGCTTGGCGTCATCTGTACGGTTGCCTGAAGATCGTGGAGTCCGTGCGTAGATAGTAACTAGGTGGAGAGTGTTCCGGATTTCTGGCTCTCCATATTACTCTCTGTAGCGTCCATTGTGCTCTGGTCCATTTCGCAACAACTGGTAGTCAAGGCTGTGGAACAATCATTGTGAGATCAAACTATGGGTCAGTCCATAACCGACTGCAATATACACAAAATATACGACATTAAAGATATTAATAGGTTGATGGTCAATGATACACAATTTTCTATAAAACAAGCACCGAATATAATTATTACACAAGCCATTCACACAACGCACACAAAAAAGTTTCACATCTCCCCCCTACTGACAGGTACCATTCTGCCCTATCTAATACCACAATACTTCATTGCCTACATGTAGGTAAATTTATGACACAATTCAGGGTCAAAAGTGATACAAGTATCTATTGTAAATATATGTAGGTCATGCATACTTGGGGAGGCTATACTCAACCACTGTGACTGTTTGACAACCTCGTTTTTTTTTTCATCCAGACATCGTCACCCATTTCACTGTCCTCACCCACTTCGTCGTTCCTTCCACCATTCCCATCCATATCTTGTCATTCACCTTACCTCTCATTCACACCTAGTCATCCATATAGCTGCCAGCATCCACGGTATTATCCACCTCACTGCCCTCATTCATCCAAAATTTCGTCATCCACTTAAGTGGTCTATCTGCTACTTGTCCACGCCTTGTTATCCACCTCCCGCCCATCACACACACACTCTTGAAACCATCATCCGCTCACTCAAACCAGTTATTTGTCCTCATGAGAGAAAAAAATAACTGCTGAGTAACGACATGGGCACCACCATGCCTGACTGCAACAAACACACACAACGTTCACAATACGAGGCTGCAACACAATACTTCCACACGGCACTCACCATACCACCCCTCCCTTCCTGTCTCTTGAGGTCCATCAACTCTACACATAACCGGCCAACTTCACACCTGATGCCCTCGGGCAATATACAGGTCAAAATATTTTTGCATTCTGGCACAATTAAGCCAATAAGAAAAGAAATTTGTAATGTTGAGATATTTTTTTTTATTAAACACACGTAACGCGTACCTCAGACTACTCGTCAATTCTCCTTCAGGAGTGTTAAGGGTGGCGTAACCAGATGATTCTTTATGGTTCATCTTATTCTGGAACTGGTGTACCGATTACAGAAAGTTTGTGAAAACATACATGGTACCGCAGCTCTGTTCTGAAATATTAAGAAAATACCAAACTAGCAAGCTTTTTCGTGTGATTCATTCAGTGTCGTGGAAGCTGTGATTGGATTTTATACCGGATACAGAAATATAACATCCAGAATCACTATTAGCTACTACAGTATTTCTAGTATAAGCAATCGTTACATTAACGACATGTATGTATGCAAATAAAAAAATTCTTGAATACGTCAACTACAGGCATTTTTTCAGAGTAAATGCTTAAGTGTGAAACGAGCAAATAACACACTCACACTATTGCATTTACGTACCCATGTGAGGTGGTGCCATTTGTACGGTCGGGAACAGATGAAGGCCTCAGCAGGCATACATACATCTGCAGCAAAACGCGTGCTGCCTTCCAAAATAACCAAACTGGCGCACATATGATGAATCCCCGATTTTTTTTTTCATTTGCGCCCAGTCCTTAGAGAAATGCACGGGGAGGGGAGGGGGGGGGGGTTGGCAGAAGAAAGGATATTCCAAGTCTGATTGAAATCGGCCTAAAACTTTTGAAGAATCTGGAAGCAAACTAAAACTGCGAAATTTAGACTACAGAAGTGTCTGTTAACAACCTCTGACCATTGTAACTTTGAGGCGCCCACCACTACTCATCCGTTCACCACAATGTGGAGTAGCACTAAGAATGAGCACACTACTGTCAACAAGAAGAGTATCGGAAATTACTATAAATATATTCTTTCAACAATAAGTGCCACTGAACACTGTACAATGCAATACACAGGAATATTTATTTCAACAAGACAACAGTGAGGATAACCAGTACATGACAAGTGTGTATATGTTACTTAGTACGGTACACCAACATGTGTAACTCAACAATGTTCATCAGTATGTGAACTGATTATTACGATGTATGATAGTAGCATGCTCAACCAACACCATTCACAAATACCAAGTTAACTGTCAATGTACAAAACATTTTATTAATAAAATGTTATTTCACACCAATAAACATACCAAACAGTACATAGTCACCACACCAGAATACAAAATGTCACCGGATATCAAATAACACGATAGCAAAGTGTACGTTAACTAACACTCTAGAAGTCCCTCTCATAACATAACATCAACAACAGTATACCATAATCCACAGTAAATCAAAAGTGGGTATTAGCTATCACTTTGCATAAAGCAGTAAAGGTTTAATAACCATATACAAGCGAATGCACTAAACCACTAGATTTCAAGAGTATTTACACCACTATAATATAGATCCAAACACATTTGATTCTTGTACGTTTCACAAACACTTTCAACAGCTGTTCCGTATTTCACAAACAGTTCATCAAAATTGTGTTCTTAAAAGACAAAACCATTGATGGGCATCCCCTAAGCCCGGACATCTTACCATACGGCGAGCGAGGCTTGGATTATTCATCAAGGCAGCATTGAAATCTTCCACCAGTTGGAGACGCTCGCCCCTGGCATTCTAACTCCAGGGACAAGATTTTTCTTATTGGTCGATGCTTCTCACAATTCCTCCATTATTGCCAGTAAACAAGTGGTGAAATGAAAGTTACACTTTGCATTCGTTGGTTATTTGCTCCACTATCTACGTATATAAGCCGTAGCTTCTGTCTTCTCCATGTTTCCACAAGGCTTAAGCTAACACTAAGATCAAACAGACAATGTTAGCATTGCAGGCTACAGCTGAGTCAGCACCGACAACCCCGACTGTGAGGAGAGCAGTGGCTCAACGCCCAACCACCACCCAGGCTTGCGACCGACTGAATGTTCACCACTGCGACAGCAGGTGGAGGCCACACCACGGCCGACCTACTTCTTCTTCCCCCCCGCCCACCTCCGTCGCACCCCTTCCTCTCCTCCCCACTTTCTGAGTCTCCCTCCTCCTCCTCTTCCCCCGTCTTGCAGCGGTCAGTAACCCCATTACTTACTTCTCCAGCGTATTGCTATTATGCACAAAAGTAAAAACAGTCAAAATACGAGTTACGGCATGCCCACTTTGGCCCTCTAATCTCACATACCGCGCAAGAAAGTTGCTAGAAAGTTGCAGAGCCGCCCCGTATCCGCGCCGGCGACCCACATACCCTGTATCTACCTACCTGCTGCTCCATTTCACCCTCCACAACCAAGAGAGTAAATATCTGCTTATCTCACAACGAGATTATTTTTACTCCTGGTGAGTGTGGGGGAGGTGCAGCGCGGACCATAAGGGTGGCAGAACCAGGGGTGGCGGGGGGCACCGTTACCGCACGGGATGTGAACCATGCCAGCTGCTGCCGCCAGGGGGAAGTAGAACAGAACGACGAGGTTTCCCATGATCACAGCGCTCCTGGCTGCCCCTTTGTCTAGGTCAGCCCACACTGGCGGACTTCCACTGCTTATGTATGTTTCCGTCAACAGAGTGCAGGGTGCCGGATCCTTGCATGGGGACGCCGTCGCTTCCGCGTTACTGACTCGGAAACTGCTTTTCGTGAGGCGCTTGGCTCCGGGCGGCGAGGAACGTCCATGCCGCCCACCACCATGGGCAACTAACGTAACCCCTACCTCCCTCTAACGCCATCAACGCACAGGATCTCCAACATATAACTGTCTATATCCTACTGTCCTATACACCAGCCCACCCACCTCACCTTTGTCTCTCCCCCAGTTACATCTAACCACTTCACGTTACACCCTCACTTCCTCTCCTGACCTACCGTTCTCACTACGTTTGCGAAATCACTTAAAAGATGATTTAAGAGATGATAAACACGTTAGTGAGTATTGTTGTGTGTAAGTTAAGTGAACTGCGTGAGGGACAAGCCCTGGAATGGAGCATATGGGGAGCAGAGGTCTGGCGGTAATTAAGGAGTCGGCTCGTCTACCGTTACGGGTGAAAAGGTGGTGAGCACTGGGGGAATGGGGCGGCCCTGGTTATGTTGGAGCGTGAGTGCCTGGGCGTTTTGTCTGGTGACGACGCCGTTGAAGAGGTGATTAACTCGCTGAACATGTTGATGATGTATCGGTGGAGGTTTATGACTGTTTATAGCCTAAAATAATGAAGTTATGATAGAGAGATTCAGGGGTCACGTTATATGGTTGATTGGACACAAAGGTGACATGGTGTTGGAGGTTTACAAATAGTTGGATATGGTGGTGACGTGGTGAAGGTTTATGGTCTCCGAAATACCGCGGTGCGTCCAAGAAAGAGAGATTTGTTGAAGAAGTAGCGAGGTAAGTTCATGATCGGCTGCCCCAAGACCTGATAATTTGCCGCGATCGGAAGGTTCGTGTATAGCTGGGTAAGATGATATAATCCAAAGATCAATAGCTAGATGGGTTCAGGTGACGATGTGGTGTTGAGGAGTGGATGGTGATGATGGTAGTGGTGTTGAGTGGATGGTGAAGATGTTGATAGTGATGGTGAAAAAACAGGAGAGAGGGAGAGAAGAGAGAGAGAGGGAGAGAAAAGTAAGTAAATAAGATATAACCACACCTGACTCACTCCACCTCTCTCAATACACGAAAAAACCCTCCACGAGAATAAAAACAGAGGGAGAAAAAATGATGAGATAGAGAACAAGTAAAGAGAAGAAAGAGGAAAAATGGAGAGGAGGAAGGATAGAAAAAAATGGAAGGAGAGGAGGAAAGTTATAAAGAAAAAGAGAATGAGGAGGAAGAAAGTAAAAAGAAGAGGAAGAGGAAAACCAAGGGAAAAACTTGTACAAGAAGAGGAGCAACATATGAAGGAAAGGATTGGGAGGGAGGGAGGGAGGGAAGGAGTGGAGGATCGCACTTGACCTAGAGAGAAGCAACAGAGAGAGACAGACGGGGGAGGGAGGGAGAGGAGGTTTGATGGTTAGGGAGGGAGGGAGGTAGTGTGCCAGGGCGACCTCGTGACCCACATCCCCCTACCCCCTCCTCTCTCTCACCCCCCAACCCTCCCCTTACTCACTACACTACCTGATTTCTCTTCCACCACCTACAGCCCCTCACCTAACTCCCTCTGTTAGCCTGTATTGCATACCTGTACTGGAACATATCTTTGAATCCAGGTATATGGGTTCTATTAGTTAGTAGAGCTTAAGTATTCAATCACACACACACACATATATATATATATATATATATATATATATATATATATATATATATATATATATATATATATATATATATATATATATATATATATATATATAATGGGGTATATTAGCAATGTATTAGCTGTAAACCCGGAAACAAACGCTCAAGTAATCCATTCGTAGCAACAAAACTAACACAATTAATTGATGGAGTTTACCTGAACTAAAAAGGCAGATATACCTTATATTAAGATCTAAAAAATTTCAAAATGTACCATAACTTCTAAATATTAAAATGCTCTTTGAGATAATTTTTCTTTATTACGCGAAATGCACATTCGATTGCCTTATCTATCACAAAAAATGTTTACCCTCTCTCTTTAGTCAGAAAGTCACCCTTTTCCAAGCTACTCAAGTTGACTTACCTTACTTAAATCTAGTTATCTATTACTTCTAAGTGATCAGTCGATCGAGAATGCTTAATTTTGTAAGATATTTAAGTGGGCCAACTACATTACCTGAGGGAAGTAAACTAGTATTTTCGAGGAAGGAATATTTTGTGATGAATATTTTGTCAAGCGGACGAGGTTGGGTGGTGGGGTGTGGGCCGTGATGACACAGAAGCAGTGGACCTTGTTCAAGATTTACTGTTTTCCTTTACATAAAAACAAGTTAGCATTTTTTCTTCCTTCGGAGAAACAGAGAAGAAAATGAGACTTTCAGTATTCTAATAATACTAAAAAAAAGGCTATAGTTTTTAAATTTTCATTGTTAATGGGCTATGAAAAGCTTATACAAGTATATATACAATACATCACAATTTTGAATGCAGAAACTCGTACAGATCCCTTCCTTGATGATGTCTATTTACGGAGGTCATAATACTGTGAATAGAGAGGCAAGAAGGTGTTGCCACAAACAAAGGATAGGTGTGGCGGCTGGCGTTATTTTCACTGCGGTTCAACGCACCGGAACGTTCGTGTGGCGGATCTTAGGACGCCCTGGCACGCACTTTTTTGTCACCCCCAACTTTCCCTTCCTGTTCTCTCTTTCTCTCTTTGCTTGGATAATTTTCTCTTTCCGGCCACACGGATACTAAACGGATATACATGTAATTTCATTTCAGTGCGGGTACTTAGAGAAGAGATACGCGTAATAACAGCTAATGCTTCCGGAGTCAGCTGGGGTTAAGGCGAGTGAGCGTCCCTGGTTTGGTAAACATGTGACAGTACGCGGACGACGAGGAGTCCACAGCTCCAGTCTCCGTCTGACTTAATAAATAAATATTTTTAGGCACTAACTTGTAAGCTATATTTTCACGCTATAAAACGGTATGAATGTTCCTGCTGGAGGCATAACATCAGAAACTATTACACTCTAAAAAGGTTTCAATTAGTCTATGTATAATGCTGTTGAGGCAATCTGAAAGTTCAATATAATATAAACACAAAAAATATTCTACAAGACTAAACCACTTGAAAGACTACAAACAATAACATAATAAAGTTCCAATAATGTATACGACCAGGAGTAGTGGGCGGGCGGCCTGGAGACCCAGTAGTCCAGTACCTCCTGGGAACCTGCCGGGAAGGCACAGAATGGTCCCGAGTCACCCTTCTGCACCGGGTGTGAGAACTACTCCTGCAAACACCTACTTCAAGCGTAAGGAGTGTCTGACCTGCTAAACACCACCAAAAACACGTTTATACTTGTATATTTAAGTATTCTCATGCATATTCACCACCCCACATAAAAATGTATACAACACAGCTACTGACATTAACATACGAGGTTAGGGAACATACAGAGGTATACACATTCAATTTTCAATTTCAATTGTTTATTCCTTGATAGAGGAAGCGGGATCCTAGTGCTGTCACTAGGTACCCCTGTATTAGTATACACATTAATATTTATAGTCCCTCCCCTTATATACACACACAACCCTCCACAGACATTACGGTGAGAGACGTTGTTCGAGGGAGCGCGAAGGAGATATCAAGCGAGAAAATGACATTTCAGAATTATAGACAAAAAGAAAATGAAGGTTTGATGAAAAAAGTGGCCGCGCTGGTCATACTCGAGTGAGCGTCACCATCTTTGTCGTCTTGTAAAAACTAACAGTGTTCATGTCCTTCAAGCTATTGAACAAAATAACACTGACAAACTCCTGTCATCCAAATACATGTTTTTAAAATCGCTGTATTGAGCTTTATTTCAATTCTACATATAGTGAGTTAATATAGGTTAGGTTAGGTTGGAGTTAGATTAGGGCAGATTGAAGTTCGGTTAGGTTAGGTTCGGTTCGTTAGGTTGGTGCTAGTGGTGCAATTCAATAAATTAGTCAGGTTAGGTCAGTTAGGATTGGTAAGGTATGAACTAGAATACGGTAGCTGAGACTTAGGGTACGTTAGGTTATGTGGGAATCTGTCCTAGACAAGTACACGATCTTGTTGTTGAATAAACTGCAATGCCTCACTAAAATACGTATGTCTTGCCACCCACACTCTTCACTGAGCTCATTCTGGTTGTCGATATCGTTCTGGTATACGAACACACTTTATCAGTGGCCTACCGTGTTTGGTGTAATTCATGATTATATTACCGCTCGTCTTTAAAGCTTGACAAAAAACATAAGAATACAAGTGATTCCTAATTCAGTAACTGTAACTCATATGGTGTTTGCATTTCGGAAGACGACTTTTGCCACACTCATCAGGCCGAAGAATGTCATCCGGCCTGAGTGCATTCATTTAGTTCTC